AGGCAGACGATGCCAGATATATCTTGTGGCCTTGATGCGAAGAACTTGTTTGAGCCCATATGGGGGCGACATTCGTTTCTGGTGCTATAGGTGGAATCCGGCTGGTTCTAGCAACAACAGCCATTTTATCAGGATCACGTTAGTTCTTGGTCGCTGGTCAGTGCAACAAAGCGGCACTGCACCTAGCCGAGCAGATTTAGAAGAGGCAGACCACCCGCAAGAGATACCGGTTGTGGCTGCCTGGGCTGCCTCCACGCCCTTACATGGCAGTGTAAAGCTTCGTGCGTGACTTTTTTAGCCATCGGCTGTGCTTTCGGTTGCTTTCGCTTCGGAGTGAGCCGCGCGAGGCCGGGAGTCCTCAGTCTGTCGTAAACGGCTGTGATCTGAATGCAGGTGGAGGAGCGGAAGCAGCTGGATGAACGGCGGCGCCAGGAGGACATGACCATGGGCTCGGCTTCGAGTGTGAGCCATCATGGCGTGGTGCGCTGCTTGTGCTCTTGTAGTTTGGAGGAAATGGCCATGGGTCAAAATCCCAATCGTACCCCCGAGTGAACATCCCAATCCCCACTGAAATAGGTTCTAAGATGGGTGGTGAATTCACCTACCCCAAAATGGGTGGTTTTGACCCACAGCCAAATAGGGACTGCACCAGGTTCAAGCTTAGGTGTTCGTCTTTTGCCAGCAAAGCCCATCACAGGGCCCAGTGGCCCTCCGGCTATGGGATAAACGTCTGCAGTCTCCAGCTGCTTCTCAGGAGCTCGAGGAGGTTCGCCAGGAGAGGCAGAGGGAGGAGAACCAGCCCATGAGGCACGGCTTTGGAATCACTTTGTCGTCCCGTGACCAGGGCTGCCATCTGATTTCCGGTTAAAACCTGCCCGACAAAAAGGTACCAACTCCAACAAAGGGGTACCGCTTTCTACTTGGCAACTGCAAAAAACACGTTGGACGACGTTCTTTGATTGGCGTATATAGCGCCTGTGTTGGAATTAGAATGCATGCACGCCATTTACACATGTCGCAGACTTCGCAGCTTTCCTACTATCAATCGTAGCTTTTGCCCTGGGGCATACCGCGCTGTCCTTTCGGTCCACCCCAGGCTTTGCCAAGCTGTTCCATTTCTTCACGGGCTTGTATATGCAGGTGTTAAGCATTTCTTGGTCTTTGGTGAGTCTCTCGAGCCGAATACCCGAAACGCAGACATGACCAAGAACAGCTGAAATGACATACACGGGTTACATGGGATCTGAATCCACGGCTTTCTCAACCTTTTGATATCACCTTTCCCCGAACGACAGATGCCCAAAGCCCCAAGTCTGTCCAAAAAGCAGACCCATTCCTCAGCGCTGGGTCTTTGACTTTTCCGCCCGGAACCGACGGCGGTAGGAGCCCCGATGCGGAGTACCACCTGCAGATCGCCAAGCAGCAGCTCAAGGACGACAGCTTCCGCGCCGACGCCCGCGTGGCCCAGGCGAGACCTTGGTTTGGGTTTGCCCGTTCGGGGCGCTGCAGACCTAGGCCCCCCAGCAATTGGTGCCCTTCTCGCCCCCCTTTTTTGGGGGAGGGTGAGGGGTACCCTACTAAAATAGACTACAGAAAAAAGTGGGTACCCTTATTCTGACCTCTCACTGGAGGACCTTTGGAATTTGGACTTTTGACTTGGCTTCAAATGAAAGAGTAATGTTAGACGCAAAAAGTTGCGGTGCGCCCGGATGTCTTCAACAGGAAGACGGCCATGATTCCAGCCGAAGCGCCTCTTTCAGATCACCGTTCTACTTTGTTGGTTCTAGAGCTGAGGTATGGATCGATAGTGATAGTTGGGGGCATTCGTATGTAACTGGAGGTGAAATTCTTGGATTTGTTATCCCAGAGGGTCCTTAGGTACCTCCTGAGGATGGCTTTTTGGGGGGTACAAAGGGGTCGTTCAGTACCTTAGGTACCAAGGGACCCTCTGGGTAAAGACTCTCCCCACCTCCGTTCCTTTCCTGAAGCCGCTCGCCGCCCGCCGGTGCTCCCACCTCCGCTCGCAGGGTGCAGTGGAGCAGCTTCTGTCGCGCCTGCCGGAGCTGTTGGAGCCAGAGCTGCAGCGCCTGGAGAGGGATCTGCAGCGCTTCGCACATCACCCAACACTCCGAGGACGTGTCGACCGGGTCAAAACTAAACCGCCAGGACTCGGACCGCAGGTTTTGGTCCATGTTGGCACTTAGGGTTCCAGTAGTAATTACCTTTTTTTGACCCACAGCCATGTGCCGACGCGGTGGTTTCGGAGAATCTTCCCCCAGATAGTGCGATAAGAAAATATTCCCCCAGATACCAGCACGAATTTGTTTTGTTTTTCTTGTTTTTTTCCCCTTGTGTTTTTCTTCTATTTTTTCAAGCTTTCCATCTTTCCATCTATCTATCTGCGCATGACCTTGCGAAAGAGTGGCGGCTGCCACGAATCTTTACTTGACCTTGCAAAAGTGCTAGAAATATAAATCAGAACGAGTAGATGGATAGGTGGGTAGACCGACAGATCAAAATATTTCAACCGATAGGTAGATAGCTGGGTAGCTGGATAGATAGACAAATAGATAGGTACATAGAAAAGAAGAAGAGACAGAGAAAGATAAAGGAGATGGAGAAAGAGAGGATAATGCAAAAGGGGAAGAGAAAGAAGAGAAAGAAAGGAGACAAGGAAAGAAAGAAAAGGGATAAAGGGAAATATATTTCTCCGAAATGATAACTTTTTGGAGTTTTGCCCACGTTCTTATAATGGGTCCGATTTCCCTATTTACTGCGCATGAACCAAGTCCTACGCCAGTTCGCATGTGGTGCTTCCCAGGCTTTCGATGCGAAATGGATGCCCTCACCCAGCGGGTCAAAATGTTTGAGGATGGCTTTTGGGGAGGTAAGAATGGGTCTAAGTACTTCTAGGTCCCCAGTAGTGCCCTTCTCTCCCCTTTTTGGGGGGAGGGTTCCCCTACTAAAATAGACTACAGAAAAAAGTGGGTACCCTTATTCTAACCTTTCTACTGGAGGATCTAGACTTCCTTAGCAGGCACCAAGGGATGCTCTGGGTCAGTACCAGACTTGATCTTTGGCCATGCTCAAGGAGTCCTGCCGGAGCGCCCCGCCGCAGCGGCCGCCCACTTGGGCAGCCGCTTGCAGGTAAATGCGCTGCCGCTGCCAGGCGTGCAGCTGTCGGAGCTTTCGCGCGCGGAGATGGTGGGCACTGTAAGGCCAACGACCTCAAACCACGGTTGTTGTTGGGAAACACTTCACATTTTTGCTTATTGTGGTTTCGTGGTTGAAATCCCCACTAAAAGATATTTTGTTGCTCCCCTTCCAACGTCAAGCAAGAAACAATTGGCATGGGTTGTGGGGGATGGTCAAACCACAGGTTGATTGTAGGAGCATACTATTGGTAGCAGTTCAGCTCCTTGTATGACTTAACGGGGCAGATTGGGGCAGCATACTCCTCAAATGATTAGTGACCACAGATTGCAATCATATCATAAGCATAGTTCCTACACACGCAAACCAAGTATTTAAGATCCTCCCCTTTGAGAAGCGTGTTTGAGGAATGTGCGTTCTAAATAGCCCATCGTGTTCAAATGCCCAGAAGGATACTAACAGGGGATGCGGAATTTGTTTGCGTTCCGTGAACATGCACCAAAAAAGCTTCCCCTAACACCTATCTTGGCAACTTACGGCAAGCCTAGGCAGGAGGTAAGTGACTTTGCAAAAGGACGTCAGAAGCTGCCCAGATTCGATCCTGGTTACACGATCTGATCAGGATCCCCTGTTTTGCATGCTGGGAGCTCCATGGGCTGAAATGCCTACCTCTTCTCCCCGCTGTGGGCGGTTGCGAAATCCATCTTGCACCAAAGAAACCCTGGAATGATTTGATTCCGCTGCAAATGCCAACAAACAATGGTCTCAACCATGATTTCAAAGTGGTGCAGAATTTTGTCCATCCCCAGTGTGATAGTCCTTGGACAAGAACGCAAACAAGAGATGGCAAATGGCTGCTTCATCTGCAGAACGGAGCCAGGACCTGAACAAACTGTGACATTTCGCCGGTCTGAAATGCGGGGTCTGCGAGAATGAATCATTTGCATGTGAGACAGAACGGACTGGACGAATTTGCAGGATCACAGGCGGCTGGGTTCACACACCAATACATTGCACTTGGCAAAGGTTTTAATCAAGAAACCTCTCTTTCGGCATGTGTTTTGCGGCGCTTCGGACGGGCTGCCCGGGCGCTAGCGCCGGCCGCCGGCAAGGCTCCATGGATGAGATGGATCCCTTTGTCCTGGCCATGCTTGAGACTGGGCGGCTTGGACGACGGGCTTGGCTCTAGGGGTTAGATGTCCAACGCGTTTACGAGCGAACATTTGGGCTGGGTCACGACAGGAGGGAATTTGCTTGTTAGTCTTGGGAGTACAAAGACAGAGGGAGAGAGAGAGTCAAAAAAGAGAGAGAGAGAGAGAAAGGAAACAAAGAGAGCGAGAGAGTGAGTGAGAGAGTAAGAGAGTGAGAGAGTGAGAGAGTGAGAGAGTGAGAGAGATGCAGTCAGCTCTATGGTTTGGCATTGCGGGCGCCTTGCAGGGGCCCAGCTGAGCCATGGTCCTTAATGCAACTGCAAGATGGGGTTAGTTGTGAATACCAAACCGGGGACATGTGAATGAGCCAGCCAATAATATGATCAGAGCTGCAAGTGGCACTTTCTCGAAGCTGATGTTTGCCAAGGATCAAAGGCCCAGCCGCTCCCAAAGAATTCGGTGCCGCGAGGCTGTTGATTCCCAAGTTTCAGTCCCAGCAGCTTGTGGTGCCCAACCAGTTGACGCGGCAAGTGCTGGCAGCTTGGCGCATGGCTGGGGAGGAACCATTGGGGAGTCAGACTCCCAGCCATCCGGTTCCTTAGCTTTTTAAGGTTTTAGGGTTTAGTGGTAGTTTCCCATTTACTCCACTAACAGTTAAACCTTTAGCAAGGGATCAGCGGGCAGCCCAGTACACAA